AACGAGTTTTTTATGCCCTTTTGAAACGTGGGTATCCAAGATTCCCGTGTTGAGGGTATCCGCTCTTTACACTTTTGTCCTTCATTTTTTTCATATATTTTCTTTATCAATTTTCTTTATTTTTCCCCCAAATTTATTTTTATTTTTATTTTTAAATTTATAATTTAAATAAATTAATGGACTTATTGTCTAATAAGCAATTTTATGCAATTAAGTATATTTGTACATTACATTTACATATAAAATAAACTGCAATTAAATTATATATTATCTAGATTTATTTTTAATATTTTGAAGAGATTGTATTATTAATAATATTTATTATCATAAATATATAATTTTAAAGCAACAATTTTTTACAACCAATATATTTTTCTTTAAAAAAAATGATGCAAGATAAATAAATTTTACCCAAGATAATACCAATTATATGATTGTCTTTTCGGAAAAATATTAAAGTTGAAAATGAAATATATATTGAATTAAAAGGAATTAATTTGTTCTACAAAACAACATATAAAAATCAAAATATTAAATTAATTCAAATAAATCTATTATATTAAATGAATTTATAAATTATATGAGTATTCGTGATGGTATTTTTGGAACATTCTATAAATTTAACACATCCCCAAGAACAAATCGTGTAAAACAAACGTGGTTATCCAAATATTTCAGAACATCCTTGATAAATTTTCCTATGAAACAAACATGAATATCTGAAGATGCCGGACATCTAAAATTCCGGGCATTTGAAATTTCAGGCATCGCTAGATGCCAGACATCTACATTCTCGAAAAACAAACGGCCCCTAAGAGTTTATCTTGCCTTTGTTCAATATTAAAAGTTGTTGAGTAATTTGGTCCCATTACCTCTCTACACAATTGGTTTAAAATGTTAATAGAGATGAAAATGTGCATACTCAATTTTATGGAAATATTGATAGAAATATAAAATGGGAAATGTTGATATATATTTCTGAAAAATTTATAAAAATAAAAATTCATGACAAATATTTGAATTAAAAAAATAAACTTTTTTAACCATTTTCAAATAAGTTAATAACTATTAATATTAATAATATTATGTCTATATTAGTGATAATTTGTTGATAGATTTATATTTGGTTGATTTTTTGTAATACTATAGAAATGTTGAAATTATGTCGACACTTCGATAGAAATTTAGTCTCCGTTTGATAACTTTCTCATTTCTTATTTTCTGTTTTCAGTTTTTGAGAAACCTGAGCGTTTTATATAACTATTCATATTTCTCGTTTCTCATTTTTAAGAAATATTTCAAAATTATATAAAAATTTTGGAAGTAAGGAACTCAAGTTTTGTTTCTAGTTCATGTTTCTAACTTTTTTTTCAAATTTTAAATAAGATATTATTTTCATCATTTTTATTTTTAAAAGTCATAATTGAATTAAAAATATAAATATAACATAAATAATTTTAAATTTTAAATTGCATATAAACTTTTTACATTTTTTTTAATCTAAAATTTTAGAGAACAAGAAACAAGAAATACTTACCCAAGGTATTTCTATTTTATTTTCAACAAAAAAAAATAATAAGAAACAATTACTAGACGTAGGTTTTTCCTTTTTTTATAAAAAAAAAAAGATAGAACACGAAATAAAAATTAAGAAACCATAAACAATAAACAACAACATTAGCAAGATGTTTTACTAAGATGATTTATAGAATATATATTACTTGAAATTAGCATATTTGTATATGGTTAATAAGGTATGCATCATTTTTTTAACACAACAAATGGAGTTGGAAAAATTCGAACTTATGACTTGAGTTGGGTACCAATTACTGTTGAGTTAAGCTCATGTCGGTAATAAATGATCAACTTTGACTTCTTCATTTATATTATCCCAACATGTAATTTTATTTCTACATATTTGACTTGTTATTTTACAAAATCTTATGAATTGTAAAGTTAGATAAACTATGTTACATGCTGCAATTCTTACACATATTGGTTTAATTTTTGCTGTCTAAAATTGGTACTTGCAACGATTGGGAAACTACTTGAATTCAATGAAGTAATAATCTTGAATCCTCTTATGTTTGCTTAATTTGAAGGAAGTCAATTAATTAATTCAAGTACTAATTTTGGCATAAATATTTTATATAATCTCTCTTTTCTTAATTTATACAATTTCTCCAACTAATTGTCTCCTAAACTCCCTTTTTCACATTATTTTGTTTGATGGCTAATCTATTTTTAAAATATGAGCGGTTAAGATCACACGTGGAAAAGAAAAGTGACATTGCATAGATTTATAATTATACACGAACTACAATTGGTTTTGAAATGAAATCTTATGAATATTGATATGGTATCAGAGCTCAAAAACTCAAACGAACATCCGGTCCAAAAATGGAATCCGACCAAGATCGATGAGCCAAAAAAGCCACCATCTTGAGGGGCATGTTAAGGAGATGAAACCCACGAATATTGATATAAATATAGTCCAGTAGCCTAAAAAAACATTTTTTTTTCCTCTCATTATCTTCTCAATACACATATTTTACATTCACTCATATATACATATAAAGACAATTGATCAATCTTTTAGATTATAATTTCAGTTGTTTCAATGGATGAAAGTTTCTAGAAAACTATTTTGAGAGCAAAATATCCTGAAAATAGTGTATCCCTTTTAAGTTTGGTATAAAATAACATTATGTTGTTTTAGGATTATTGTATATTTTTAAACCACACATAACATCCAATCAAACTACAAATATAATTATTTATGAAAGAAAGAGTATATTTTCAAATCTAAACATTATTTTTCATTTTTTTTAGTGTAACATGTTGGGATCTCACGATCATTTAGTTGGAGATATGTGACTTAACTAGTTGAGCGATATTCATGTTAGACTATAATAAATTTATTATTTTTTTAAAACAATTCATTAACACAAGACTTAAAATGAATAAACCACTACTCAACCAAAAAGCTGAAGCTGATGGATTAGGTAAATTTAATTTATATATTGGATATCTGAGAAATTAGAAAGAAAAATTTATTGATCGATCATGTTTATGTTTTAAGGGATCATGTATTTAATAGTTATGAGATTTTATAAGTACATTATAACGAGTAATTTTCTGACAAGAAACGCCTTATTCTCACAAGTATCCTTTGACCACGTAATAATATTAATTGGTACGTTATAAACTTTTATTCACATTTGGAAAATAATTAATGCTTTCCTTATGTGAAAACAAACTATTAGGCACAAAATTTTATCATTCTTTTCAACGCTTTGCCTTTTTATCGATGATTTCTTGACATAATCTTTATGGAAGGTATATGGCGTAAAGAATCTACTTTTCTTAATGTTACTACTATTTATACCGATTCAAGAATAATTTGGTAAGACATTTATCATCATATCTTAAAGGTTGATAGTTCGATCTTGGTTTGACTCTACGAAATTAAAATTTTCAGAACTTTCTCATTTATCATCATATGTTACTAAAATTTTCTCAATTTCACCATATCAACTTTTAAGTTGGTGACCTTATCAATTTTAAAAAGTGCACCAAGAAAGCATCCTCATAATGAAAAAACCATTATCAAGGATCT